TCAACATATGGAATGACCACTGGTCTGGGTCTGGGTTCCTCCTTTTCACCTGATGGCTGACTGGAGTCCTGTTTGGGTTTCTTCTCTGCTTTCAGGAAGGCCCAGTTAGGATATCCACATTGCTCTAGAGCCTGTCTTGTGTGGGATTTCTCCTTCTGCCTGGCTCCTGAGCTAGTGGGGACGCTGTCTGCTCTGTGATACAGAGTCCTGATGACTCCTAACTTGTGCTCCAAAGGGTGATGGGAGTCAAACTGCAAATACTGGTCTGTGTGGGTGGGTTTGTGGTACACCTCAGTTTGCAAATGTCCTCTATCAGAGACTGAGACCTCACAGTCCAAGAAAGCCAACCTGCCATTTTTTACATCTTCTCATGTGAACTTGATGTATTTATCCACAGAGTTGATGTGGTCAGTAAAATGTTGGACTTACTGAGATTTAATTTTAACCCAGGTGTCGTCAACATACCTGAACCAATGACTTGGTGGTGTCCCTGAAAAGGATGTCAAGGCTCTCTTTTCTACCTCCTCCATGTACAGGTTGGCAACAATAGGAGAAACTGGAGACCCCATAGCACACCCATGTTTCTGCCTATAATATTGCTCCCCATATGTGAAGTAGGTTGTTTTTTGTTTTTTTGAATGTCCAGAGGACCAGATTGAACTTTTTTGGTTTAAAGTATTTGTTTCATATGTCTGTAGCCCCTTCAACGTTAAGTGCTTTAAAGAACGTGGTTGCATGTTTCATTTAATTTGCTAGAAAAATATCAAACATTTGTTTTCCATTTAAACACTAGGTGTGCCGATGTTTTCCACCTCTCTAAGATTACCAGCCATCAGGATGCAGTGTTCCCCCTACCATTATACAAGCGGGGTGGGGCACCCCACCTACCAAACTGGCATAGCACTAAGCTAGCGGCGCACAATACAGGTGCACTAGCTAAAAAGCTAAAGGCACTTGTGTTTGTCATGTGCAGGTTAACAGAACAATGAAATGCTTCGGATGAGACGAACTGATTTTAATTGATAAAAATCAAAGACCAAACAAAGAATACTAAAAGCATGCGATAAGGGTACAACAATAAAGAAACATTCAATTAAACATTGAATGAAATTCTGACACTAAAGGCTACTTGTGCTTTAGGAACGGTCTTGTGTGTGTCTACATGTTGCGCCACGTGTCACACCTCAACTCCTTCTTCTGTCCTCTCACTTGTTCTGTCCGCAGCAGCGTCTGCAGCTCAACACAAGATGGTACGAGCCGCCTTGGTGACCGCCACCAGTCTGGCGCTGACTGGAGCTGTGGTGGCTCACGCATACTTGCTCAAGCACCAGTTCTACCCCACTGTGGTGTACCTCACCAAGAGCAGCCCCAGCATGGCGGTGAGCAGTGCAGAGCTTTCTCCCCGTCATACCCGTCTTTAATTGTGGCACATGATCAAATCAAGTTTTCTGGTTTGTTTGTCTTCTCAGGTGTTGTACATTCAGGCCTTTGTTCTGGTGTTTCTTTTGGGAAAGTTTATGAGAAAAGTCTTTTTTGGGCAGCTGAGAGCTGCAGAGATGGAGGTAGATTTCAGACATTTTTCTCATAACTGATGTTGCTGTGGAGATGGAAAGTGTCAAACTTAATGTTTCTATGCACTCGTCCCACCTCCATCAGCATCTGATCGAGCGCTCCTGGTACGCAGTGACGGAGACGTGCCTGGCCTTCACTGTGTTCAGAGATGATTTCTCCCCCAGATTTGTCGCCCTCTTTACCCTCCTGCTCTTCTTGAAGTGCTTCCACTGGCTGGCTGAGGATCGGGTGGACTTTGTGAGTGATGAAAAGAAGAAAATCATCATCATCATCGTACATTAATAGCCGTTAGGAACACGACCAAGAATAATTCACATCATGGAATGTGTATAATAAGGGCTGAAATGTGATTGAATTATTTACTGATTTAAAATATTTTTTAATTTTAATTTTATTGTTTGTTCTTCAGATGGAGCGAAGTCCGAACATATCATGGGTTTTTCACCTAAGGGTTTTATGTAAGTAGCTCTTCTCATGCTAATAAATTGGGTTTGTTCTCTTCCCTGCCCGTTGCTTTTCACTTCTCTCAATGTTTCACTTTCTTTGTCACTGACTGCATTCGCACACAGCAAGTCTAAATGAAACTCAATGCAAATGTCTGTTCTCATAAGGCCAGGTGCCGTGCACGTTATTCCTGTGTCAACCGACCACAGTAACCGTTTCAACAAAATTCAACTTTTTCAGTTGTCTTTGAAAGCTGCTTGGTATACTTTGTCACTAACTGTTCAGGACAAACTCAAACTGAGGAACATACACAAGTAGCTGTGTGGAGTTTGTCTTTACAAAATATCATGTTTATATTCTGTTTCTGCAGAGGATTGTCCACCTAATGCAATGTGGTGTTTGTTTCTTGCAGCTCTCCTAGGAATGCTGGCACTCATGGACTTTTTGTTTGTCAACCACGCCTGTCACAGCATCATTACTCGGGGAGCTTCAGTTCAGCTGGTTTTTGGATTTGAGGTTTGTTGTACCTTTTTTAAACGTAAAACAAAAGCCTACCGGTAGATCAGAGGTTCTCGAAGTGTGGCAGAGCTTTTTTTAATACCTCATCAACACAACCCATTTTCTTCTTTTCTTTTACTTTTCTCATTTGTGGTTTTTCCCCTCATGTTCCCCCCCCCACCACTTTTAGGGGAGGCACACCACACTTTGAAAACCCCTGGAATGGATTCATTAAAAATTGTTAAACCTGAAACACACATTTCAAAAAGGTTTTGTCCTCACAAGCTTGATTCTGAACGGAGTCCTGCTCTTATCTGTGTCACGTCTTTAACTTAAGTTGTCTTAAAGTCTGGAGTTTATTTTCAGTTTTTTGAGGTCAGAATAAATATGGAAAGTTAAAAATAAAGTATAGAAGAACTATTTTATATATGACAAAAATCTTAAATTTATTTTTACAATAATTGAATTTGGTTTATTTAGTTCCAGGTCACAACAGAAGTCGTCTCGGGGCACTACAAAAACATTCACATCATTATAAAGAGGGTTAGTAAAGTTCCGTATCTAAGGAAGCCAGCAGACTCGTTGAATCTTCACTTCGTCACAGTCTCCCATCCTGAGCAAGCAGAAAGGAGACAGTGGAAAGGAAAAACTCCCTTTTAAAGGGAAGAAACCTCCAGCAGAACCAGGCTCAGGACGAGCAGCCATCTGCTTTGACCGGCTGGTTTGAGAGGACAGGAAGGAGAGACAGACGAACACAGAATGACGGATTAGATCTTATCACAATACTTCATATTTATTATATATAAATGAAAGTTTTTTTTTTAACATGTAAACCTTATTGATGTTTATAAATGTTCTTTGTTAGTTCGAGCCATTTACCTACAGGGTGTGCATGGTGTGTACACGTGACTAACAAGTTGCACACCATTTACATTGTGTGCAACTTGTTAGTCACATGTTAGCTTGGCCCTAAAACATGCATACCTTTTTGTGTTTTAATCTAAATTGTAACACTTTTACAAAATCAGTTTCACAGTGTGTTGAAGAATATGTGAATCAAATGATCTGAACCAAATCAACCAACGGTTTTGTGGAGTTGTTCCCTCCAAGAAGTCCCGTTTCCAGATGTTTTGTGTTCAGTCTGTACATTTACAATCCTCCCTCAAAAATTAACTAACAAATTCAGAAGTTTAAGTCTTGAAAACTTTGGAGAATGGTGGTGCAGTGGTTAGAGAAGGTGGGCCTGTGATCGGATGGTCACCAGTTCAACTCCCTGGACCGACAATATCAAAATGTGGGTGGGATAGGTGAAAAAGGAGCCAGGCCTAGGGGAGGAGCTCGTCGGCGAGCGCCTGGTGACCGGGTTTCTACCCATGGGGCCCGGTTGGGCTCAGCCCGAAGGAGCAGCATGGGTTTGCCTTCCTGTGGACCCACCATCTGCAGGAAGGGCAATAAAAGTCGGGTGCGTAATGCCATTGGCAGTGGCCAAAGGCGGAGACCTTAGCGCTCTGACCCTGACTTACCAAAATTGGCTCTTGGAACATGGAACATGACTCCTCTGGTGGGGAAGGAGCCTGAGCTTTTGCATGAGGTTGAGAGGTACCGACTAGATGTAGTTGGGCTCACCTCAACACACAGCATGGGCTCTGGAACCGATCTCGAGAGGGGCTGAATCTTATTCCACTCTGGAGTTGTCCATGGTGAGAGGCATCAAGTTGGTGTGGGTCTACTTGTAGCCCCCCGACTTGGTGCCTGTGTGTTGGAGTTTGCCCCGGTAGATGAGAGGGTGGCTTCCCTTCGCCTTCGGGTGGGTGGACGGGCTCTGACTGTTGTCTGTGCCTATGCATCGAACAGTAGTTCAGAGTATCTGACCTTCTTGGAGTCCTTAGCAGGGGTGCTGGAAGGTGCGCCAGCTAGGGACACCTTTATTCTGCTGGGGGACTTCACTGCCCACATGGGTAATGACAGTGTGACCTGGAGGGGCGTGATTGGGAGGAACAGCTTCTCTGATCTGAACCCGAGTGGTGTTCTGTTGTTGGACTTCTGTGCTAGTCATAGTTTGTCCATCACAAACACCATGTTTGAACATAAGGGTGTCCATACGTGCACTTGGCACCAGGACGCCCTAGGTCGTAGATCAATGATAGACTTTATAGTAGTGTCATCTGATTTGTGGCCGTTTGTTTTGGACATTCGGGTGAAAAGAGGAGTTGAGCTGTCAACTCATCACCACCTAGTAGTGAGTTCAGATGTTGGAAGATGTCGGACAGACCCGGTAGACCCAAATGTGTAGTGAGTGTTTGCTGGGAACACCTGGCAGAAGAACCCATCAGAGAGATATTTAACGCTCAGTTGCACCCCCACCTCCCCCCACCTCAGCATCCCAGCTGAGGTGGGGGACATTGAGTCTGAGTGGGCCATATTCCACACCTCACTTGTTGAGATAGCTGCCTTGAGCTGTGGCCGCAAGGTTATCGGTGCTTCTCGTGGTGGCCATCCACGAACTTGGTGGTGGACACCCTGGGTTAGGGAGGCTGTCAAGCTGAAGAAGGCATCCTATCAGGCCTTGTTGGCCAGTGGGATTCCGTAGGCAGCTGAGGGGTACCGGAGGGCCAAGCGGTCCGCAGCCTTGGCTGTTTCTGAGACAAAAGCTCGGATGTGGGAGGAGTTCGGTGAGACCTTGGATAACGACTCGTGTTGGCTCCGAGGAGATTCTTACGACCCATCAGACGGCTGAGGAGGGGAAAGCAGCACTTTACTAACACTGTATTCAGTGAAGTTGGGCTGCTGTTGACCTTAACCAGTGATGTTAAGAGGATGCTAGGGGGAGTGGTGGTGCAGAGGTTAGAGAAGATGGACCTGTAGTTGGAAAGTCGCAGGTTCAACTCCCGGTACCGTCAACATCAAAATATGGGTGGAAAAGGTGAATCACCCACACCTGCCTCCACCCTCATTCACCCCACTCTGGGCCCCTGAGCAAGGCCCTTAACCCCCACCATCTGCTCCCTAAAGAGGTCTCTCTTGAAAATGAGTTCTCGTGGCTCAATGAGACTACGTGTATAAATAAAGGGTAAATGGAAAAAAAAAGTTGTCGGAAGGTGGAAGGAATACTTTTCCGACCTTCTCAATCCCACCAGCATGTCCATGGAGGAAGCTGAGTCAGGAGACTTTGGGGTTGATCCATCCATAACTGTGGCTGAGGTCACCCAGGTAGTTAAAAAGCTCAGAGGCGGCAGAGCTCCGGGAGTGGATGAGATTCACCTTGATTTCTTTAAGGCTTTGGATGTTGTGGGGTTGTCTTGGCTGACACGCCTTTGCAACGTTGCGTGGACATCGGGAACATTGCCACTGGATTGGCAGACTGGGGTGGTGGTTCCCCTTTTCAAAAAGGGGGATCAGAGTGTGTACTCCAATTATAGGGGCATCACTCTCCTTAGCCTCCCTGGTAAGGTCTTTTCAGGGGTACTGGAGTAGCAAGTTCGATCGTTGGTCGAACCTCAGATCCAGGCTCAGCTACAGAAGCTGGCTATTGGGACGTGGAATGTCACCTCACTGGTGGGGAAGGAGCCTGAGCTGGTGTGTGAGGCTGAGAGGTTCCGGCTAGAAATAGTCGGACTCACCTCTACGCATGGCTCTGGCTCTGGAACCAGTTTCCTTGAGAGGGGCTGGACACGCTTCCACTCTGGAGTTGCCCCTGGTGAGAGGCGCAGAGCAGGAGTGGGCATACTTATTGCCCTCCAACTTGGTGCCTGTGTGTTGGGGTTCATCCCGGTGAATGAGAGGGTGGCCTCTCTCCGCCTACGTGTGGGTGGACGGGTTCTGACTATCATTTGTGCTTATGCACAAAACGGCAGTTCAGATTATCCACCCTTTTTGGAGTCCTTGGAGAGGGTATTGGAAAGTGCACCTTGTGGGGACTCCCTTGTTCTGCTGGGGGACTTCAGTGCTCATGTGGGCAATGGCAGTGAGACCTGGAGGGGTGTGGTTGGGAGGAACAGCCCCCCTGATCTGAACCCGAGTGGTGTTCTGTTGTTGGACTTCTGTGCTCGTCATTGATTGTCAATAACAAACACCTTGTTCAAGCATAAGGGTGTCCATATGTGCTCTTGGCACCAGGACACCCTAGGTCGCAGTTCGATGATCGGCTTTGTCATCGTCTCATCTGATCTGCGGCCACATGTCTTGGACACTCGAGTGAAGAGAGGGGCGGAGCTGTCCACTGATCACTACCTGGTGGTGAGTTGGCTCCGATGGTGGGGGAGTATGCCAGTCAGACCTGGCAGACCCAAACGTATTGTGAGGGTTTGCTGGGAACGTCTGGCAGAGTCTCCTGTGAGACGGAGTTTTAACTCCCACCTCTGGGAGAACTTCGAACATGTTCCCGGGGGAGGTGGGGGACATTGAGTCTGAGTGGACCATGTTCCGTGTCTCTATTGTCGAGGCAGCTTACCGGAGCTGTGGCCGCAAGGTTGTCGTGCCTGTCGCGGCGGCAACCCTCGAACCCCATGGTGGACACCGTCAGTGAGGGATGCTGTCAGGCTGAAGGAGGAGTCCTATTGGGCCTTTCTGGCCTGTGGGACCCTGGAAGCAGCTGATGGGTACCGGCAGTCCAAGCGACATGTGGCTCGGGTGGTCGCTGAGACAAAAACTTGGGCATGGGAGGAGTTCGGAGAGGCCATGGAGAATGACTTCTGCACAGCTTAGAGGCAATTCTGGTCCACCATCCGGCGTCTCAGGGGGTGAAAGCGGTACGCCACCAACACTGTTTATAGTGGTGGTGGTGTGCTGCTGACCTCAACTCGGGAGGTCGTGGGTCAGTGGGCAGAATATTTTGAAGACCTCTTCAATCCCACGGCACGTCTTCCACTGAGGAAGCGGAGCATGGGGACTCTGGGTCGAGCCCTCCAATCTCTGGTGCTGAGGTCACCGAGGTGGTTAAAAAGCTCCTCGGTGGCAGGGCCCCGGGGGTGAATGAAATTTGCCTGGAGTTCCTTAAGGCTCTGGATGTTGTAGGGTTGTGTTGGCTTATGCGACTCTGCAATATTGCATGGACATCAGGGGAAGTTCCCCTGGATAGGCAGACCGGGGTGGTGGTCCCCCTATTCAAAAATGGGGACCGTAGAGTGTGTTCCAACTACAGGGGAATCACGCACTTAAGCCTCCCTGGTATGGTCTATTCGGGGGTTCTGGAAAGGAGTGTCCATTGGATAGTCGCACCTCGGATTCAGGAGGAGCAGTGTGGTTTTCGTCCTGGCCATGGAACACTGGACCAGCTCTACACTCTCAGCAGGGTCCTGGAGGGTGCGTGGGAGTTTGCCCAACCGGTCTACATGTGCTTTGTGGACTTGGAGAAGGTGTTCGCCCGCGTCCCTCGGGGAGCCCTGTGGAGGGTACTCTGGGAGTATGGGGTACCGGGCCCTTTGATACGGGCTGTTAGGTCCCTGTATGACCGGTGTCAGAGCCTGGTCCGCTTTGCCGGCAGTAAGTCGGGCTTGTTCTCAGTGAGAGTTGGACTCCGCCAAGGTTGCCCTTTGTCACCGATTCTGTTCATAACTTTTATGGACAGAATTTCTAGGCACAGCCAAGGTGTTGAGGGGATCCGTTTTGGTGGCCTTAGGATTGCTTCTCTGCTTTTTGCAGATGATGTGATCCTATTGGCCTCATCAGATCGTGATCTACAGCCTTTGCTGGAGCGGTTCGCAGCCGAGTGTGACGCGGCCGGGATGAAGATCAGTTCTTCCAAAATCTGAGGCCATGGTCTTGAGCCGGAAAAGGGTAGAGTGCCCTCTCTGTGTCAGGGAGGAGGTCCTGCCCCAAGTGGAGGAGTTCAAGTATCTTGGGGTCTTGTTCACGAATGAGGGAAAAATGGAGCGTGAGATCGATAGGCGGATATGTGCAGCATCTGCAGTGAAGCAGGCGCTGTACAGGTCTGTCTTGGTGAAGAGAGAGCTGAGTCAAAAGGTGAAGCTTTCAATTTACCGATCTATCTACGTTCCTACCCTCATCTATGGTCATGAACTTTGGGTTGTGACTGAAAGAATGAGATCTCGGATACAAGCGGCCGAAATGAGTTTTCTCCGCAGGGTGTCTGGGCTCTCCCTTAGAGAGAGGGTGAGAAGCTCGATCATCCGGGAGGGACTCAGAGTAAAGCCGCTGCTTCTCCATGTCGAGAGGAGCCAGTTGAGGTGGCTCGGGCATCTGGTTAGGATGCCTCCTGGACGCCTCCTTGGTGAGGTGTTCCGGACACGTCCCACCGGGAGGAGGCCCAGAGGAAGACCCAGGACACGCTGGAGGGACTATGTTTCTCGGCTGGCCTGGGAACGCCTCGGGATTCCCCCGGAAGAGCTGGCCCAAGTGGCTGGGGAGAGGGAAGTCGGGACCCGACTCCGGATATGCGGAAGAAAATGGATAGATGGATGGATGGATGGATCGGAGGGTGTGCTCCAATTATAGGGGCATCACTCTCCTCAGCCACCCTGGTAAGGTCTATTCAGGGGTACTCGAGAAGCGAGTTCGATCGTTGGTCGAACCTCAGATCCCGGAGGAACAATGTGGGTTCCCTCCTGGCCGTGGAACACTGGATCAGCTCTTTACCCTCACTAGGGTCCTCAAGTGGTCATGGGAGTTTGCCCATCCTGTCTGCATGTGTTTTGTGGATTTGGAGAAGGCATTCGACCGTGTTCCTCGGGGTACACTGTGGGGGGTGCTCCATGAGTATGGGATTAGGGGCCCGTTGCTACGGTCTGTTCAGTCACTATACAGGCGGTGAGAGGGCTTGGTTCGCATTGCCGGCAGTAAGTCAGACCCCTTCAGGGTGTGAGTTGGACTCCGCCAGGGTTGCCTGTTGTCACGATTCTGTTCATAACTTTTATGGACAGAATTTCTTGGTGCAGCCAGGGGCAGGAGGGTTTTTGGTTCGGTGGCCTCAGGATTCCATCTCTGCTCTTTGCAGATGATGTGGTCCTGTTGGCGTCATTGTGCCGTGATCTTCAGCTCTCACTGGAGCAGTTCGCAGCCGAGTGTGAAGTGGCTGGGATGAGAATCAGCACCTCCAAATCTGAGGCTATGGTCCACAACCAGCAAAGGGTGGATTGTTCTCTTCAGGTCGAGGGTGAGGTTCTGCGTCAAGTGGAGAAGTTCAAGTATCTCAGGGTTTTGTTCATGAGTGAGGGAAGAATGGAGCGTGAGACTGACGGACAGAATGGTGCAGCGTCTGCAGTATTGCAGACTCTGTACCGGTCCGTTGTGGTGAAGAGGGAGCTGAGCTGTAAGGCAAAACTCTGTTTACCTGTCGGTCTACGTTCCTACCCTCACCTATTGTCACGAGCTAGTGACAGAAAGAATGAGATTGCGGATACAGGCAGTTGATATGAGTTTCATTCGCAGGGTAGCTGGACTCTCCCTTAGAGATAGGGTGAGAAGTTTGGTTATCCAGGAGAGACTCGGTGTAGAACCTCCACATCGAGAGGAGCCAGTTGAGGTGGTTCGGGCATCTGGTAGGGATGCCCCCTGGACCCATTTCTAGGGAGGTGCTTCGGGCACATTCGACTGGGAGGAGACCCCGGGGAAGACCCAGGACACGCTGGAGAGAGACTATGTCTCTCGGTTGGCCTGAAAACGCCTTGGAGTCCTCCCAGAAGAGCTGGAAGAGGTGGCTGTGGAAAGAGATGTCTGGGCCTCCCTGCTCAAGCTGTTGCCCCCATGACCTGACTTCGGAATAAGCGGAAGATAATGGATGGATGGATGTAACCTTTACAGATTTTTGCTTAACGTTGAACACTAATGGTTTTCAGTTGTTTGTTTATTTTTTCATTAGTATGCCATCTTGCTGACCATGGTCCTGACGACCTTTATCAAGTACATTCTGCACACTGTTGACCTGCAGAGTGAGAATCCCTGGGACAACAAGGCCGTCTACATGCTCTATACAGAGCTCTTCACAGGTGCTGCATTAAGCTCAGAAATAGTTTGCTGGAAATATACATCTATCACTTTAGTATTCTTTGATTGTGTGTATGTCTGAAATGCTGTTTGATGTGGTGTTTTCAGGGTTCATCAAAGTTCTCCTGTACATTGCCTTCATGACAATCATGATAAAGGTCCACACCTTCCCTCTGTTCGCCATTCGCCCCATGTATTTGGCTATGAGGTAAGCATTGTTTATCATTGGTAATGTAGTGTTATAGTTTTGTCTTAAGAATGCACAAAAGTCCTTAAAAACATTTAAAGGAGTAAATGGGGCTTGATTGCTTTCTCACATCACATTATAAACTTGCATTATGTGCTTGTTTCATTTTCTTTCAGGCAGTTTAAAAAAGCTGTAACAGATGCTATAATGTCTCGGAGAGCTATCCGTAACATGAACACACTGTGAGTATAACTACAGACCGTGGGGAGCTGGAGTCATGATGAGTAATAAGAGAAGGTTATTAATGGTGTTTGTTGTGGCACATGACATGCGTCAAATGGCAACTGTTGTGCTTTTCTCCATCACTGATGGGCATTTTTTAATTAACAGTGGGGAACTTTAACGCAAAAGTTTAATCCTGTTGCAGAAACAGATTCATAAAATGTATAATGAAAAGGATCATGTCATTATGTTTTATATTTCATTTGAGAACGACTTGTTTTGTTAAGATACATAAAAATTGACCTGGCTTGATTAGGACTAGCTTAAAGTTTAAAGTAACTCTTCTGCTGAGCCACTTGTTACTAAGTGACAGTTTTCTGTCAGGAAGGTCAACAATAGAGTGTTTAGTGATACTAATCATTTTTAGCCCACATTTGGGAAGTCATGACCGTAATCTTTGTAGGTGAAGTTAAAGTTCAACTGATTGCCTCTGCTCAGATATCCTGATGCTACTCCTGAAGACCTGCAGGCCTCGGACAATGTTTGCATCATTTGTCGAGAGGAAATGGTCACCGGAGCCAAGAAATTGCCTTGTAATCACATTTTCCACTCCAGGTAACTCCAACAGGATAATCTGGACTGCTAACAAATGTAGTTAAACGTCCAACACAGTCCGCACTGGACTCAAATCTTGTACTTAAACAGAGCATAAGTAAATTATGGAAAAGCAAACATGGAACTTTATATTACTGCGTAGCCTTTTAGTGTCCCTTCTTTGTTTGCATTCAATTAGTTTGCATTGAAAATGCACACTATTATGACTCTGTTTATCTTTTATAATTAATCTCGTTATTATATCACCTTAATTTTTCCATCCCCTTTTTTGCTGTACATCCAGTCCTGCATACCTTATACTAATGCATCCATTATAGTTGCTAATTGTTCATTCATGTGATGTTTGCTATGATGTTTGGTGCTTGCACTATGTACAGTTTTTGAAATATTATGGTATGGTATGGTATAAAGTTTATTCATTTTAAAAAATAAAACGAAACAATTCCATAAACTATATATATAAAAAAAAAAAATACAATATATTTAAAATGAAAGGCAGCAGAAAGAAGAAAAAATCTTATTATATCAGCCCCTTTTTTCAAACAATTAGTTCAATGATAATAATCTTCAAGTAACAGAACAAAATAAATAACTCTAATTTTTCTAACATAAGCTAAATATTAAGCTTTAAGCTTAAAACTGCAAATAGATATAATGGGGAAGTAGCAGCTTCAGTATGGTAAAACACTGCCCCCATTTACTGCAGCTTAAAGTGCAGCTGGCTTATCATGTTTTTTGCTGTATAGGTCGCGTTTTTTTTGCGTAATTTGCATGCCCTGCGACTTATTCACTTCAATTCAAAAATACTTTATTAATCCCAAAGGGAAATTATTTTGTTGTTGTAGCTCGTTATCATTTCATTAAGAGATGTTATAGATGCTGATGACTGTAGGCAGGAAGGATCTCTTGTAAAGGTCCATCCCACAGTGGATCCTAAGAAACTGGCTGCAGATGCCGTCTGATCCGTCCACCCAGACTCGGCTGGCCTCTCGGTTCCCCCGTGCTGTAGGACTGTCCAAATGCCAGGCAGAACTCCTCCCAGAGCGATGGCCACTCCTCCCAGCAGTCTGCCGAGCTCCTCGTCGCTGCGGACAGTCAACTGTAGGTGCTGAGGGACGATCCTGTCCTTCAACTGTCAGGAGCCGTGTTTCCTGCTAGTTCCAGGATCTCAGTGATCAGGCACTCGAGCACAGCTGGCAGGTAGATGAGAATGCATCCACAGAACATCCTTTCAACTCATTTGAGATTTGGGGCTGTAGATGAGATATTATTTGAGCTTTTGAGATGTTAATCAGCTGCTGTT